TTGACGACATTAACGGTGCTGGCTGCATTCCTCGCGAAGAATGCCACTGTACCTATGAAGGTGAAACTTATGCTCCTGGTGCCTCCTTCTCATCTAAATGCAGATCATGGTAACATACTCCCTTTCTAAGACTTCTTGCTTTAGATGCATTACCTGAACATTTTTGAAGACAGGGGAAAATTGCTAATTTCCCCTTAAAAAGAAATTATGAACTACTTATTTAACTGCACATTTTTAAAGGAAACTTACCTCTCTGTTTTCTCCTCACAATTGGAATAAAAAAAATTGAGTTTAGATAGAGGTACTCCAATCTTATGACCAATCAGTTAAAGGAGACAATCAAATTCAAATACTGGAGGCATTTAAAAATATGAATGACGGTGTTACATCCTTTGCAGCACTAGTGTAATACTGGAATGGTCATGTAAATACTATAGAGGATGTGACATTTTAAGGCCATGTTGCTTCAGACAGAGTGGGAGATGACATTTGAGATGCCTGTTTGACCGTCACGAGATATTTTTTTCAATACCACTATAGTTACTGAAATATTAGTGCATAAGTGCATGCAAATGCACCAATCTATGAATACAAGAATCACAATGTGCATGTTATTTTCCAAGAAATACTTAGCATATTTGAAGCTTGAGCCATGCTAATGGAGATGAGAGGTGATCCTTCATATGTAGCAGTATGGATGCCCAGTTCATCAGGACTGAATTATGACTAAAGATTGGAAATCAACAGCATATAAATAAATGTCACTACTATAATTGTGCCTGCCCCATACTTAATTCTGAAATTTCAAAACAGTGTTGATTTTTTTGACAGTATGATCGGTGCTTCAGGAGTAAAATTAAGGCATCATCTGCCCTTATTGTCTCTTAGTTCATTTACATTTGCATTACCCAAGGTTACTGAATGCCTTCTCTGTTTCAGTACCTGTGCTGGCGGTGAATGGTCTTGTGTTACTCAGTCATGCCCTGGGACTTGCAGTATTGAAGGAGGCTCCCACATTTCAACATTTGATGAAAAGTATTATTCCTTCTTTGGAGATTGTAGCTATGTTCTAACCAAGGTAAAAAATGAGTCACAATCTTTGCAAAAGCAATATGCTAAAGGAAAATATTTTATTATATATAATGTTGCTTAATTAAAACTACTGGCAACCACATAAACTTTCTGAAACTTAGAGGGTCAACTTGGAGACTTAAATGGATTTCAGGGGGCTTTCTGTTAAGAAATGCACTGAGCTTTTAGATTCCATGAAACAATCTCCATGTTTCCCATTATTTTTATAATTAAATGTTGTCTGTATGGTGTTTTGTAACTACTTCTTTCTAAGAAATGTGCTTATTATTTCCATTGGTACCATCCTTTTTGTCACAGTTAATATAGTTCAATGGCTTATTTAATTAACAGAATTCATAATGGAATTATTATTATACAGAATTCATGGGAAAGAAGTTCTTTCATTAGGATGATCAACTTCCAAACAGTCTTTCCCAGTAAACATAACAGACTCCAGAGTTTAAAATCAAAAAGCTAAAAAGTCATACAAGTATTCTTGAATTAGAAATTGAATTAGAAATTAGAAATTGCTGAGTTACAAAAATTCTTAAGTTTTACTAGAGTTTTAAATTAGTAGGGACTGAATTCTGAGTAGCTATATCTAAAATAATGACTACAGATTTGAGGATTTCAGAACCCTATGTATATTTCTTCTTTATTTGTATTGGTTGAGTGATGTAAATAAGTGAATTCATATTAAATAAAATTTGTTCTTAAAAAGCTCAAACAATGTTACCAAGAAAGACTTAAAAATAAGCTAGAATGAGGTAATTTAGAAATGGATTAGACTAAACCAGTGAAACTTTCTGATGAGATTCACAAGCACAGATCAGACTATGGAAGCATAGATCAGACTTACATGCTAAACTCCCCTTTTGGCACCCACATGTAGAATTAGATTCTCAGATAATCTGAAGGTACAGAAAAGCCCTAAACTTGGAAAGAGAAGGTCAGAAAGTCCACAATTTTAACATTAGATTTCCAGGTGGCTGTCATTCTGCATCTCAGCTGCCCTCAATTTAATCCTTATTATGTCAAGAAAGTGATGACATGTTCAGAATCACAGCCTTCTGCATTTTTCCCTGTAATATCTTCACCATTAGCACACTTTGAATATAGTTCACAGAACACAGAATCACAGAAT